CCTGGGAGTGCTGCAGCTCCTCTGAGGTCCTGGACAGTGCTGCAAGTTCAGGATCCTCTCAAGGGTGGCTTTTTCCCTTGCACAGAATAGTTATATTAAAATTTAAATCACAGCTTGGTACAATCCCATGGATCTATTTTTTTTTTTTTTTCCAGAGCTGAGTTCAGGCCGTTTTGTGCTGTCTGGTAGTGAAAAAAGGACCAAAAGTAATATGGTTAACAAAAAAAAGGAAAAGAGATCTGTTTGGTTTTTTTTTTTTTTTTTAATGTACAGAGTTGAATTTGAAATGGGATGTCACAAGTCTGATATACTGCGGGCGCAGGACCAGAGCTGTGCGAGTGTCCCTTTTCCTGGGGCTGTCATCTGGTGGCAAAGGAAAGTGGAGGGGTGGGCTGCAGGCTAGGTCAGGGGCAGGAGATGTATGGAACAAGCAGCASAAATAGTTTCTCAGTGCTTCCTCTCCTGCACTCCACCATCTTCCTTTTGTCTCTGTGTCACCAGGACACTGCGCAGATCCAGAAGAAGGTCTCCTGAGCTGACATGGTGTGTCATCTGTCCTTCAGCAGCCATAAGCARTGGTGCTTCCAAATAAATTCTCTTTCCTGACCTTGCTGGGAGAATACTGTGGACAAATCCAGCCTGGCCTTTGGGCTGTTSTTTCCCTCCACGTCTGCTCACAGACAGCGCTCTTGTCATCCCAGGGAACGGTCTTTGTTTCGGAGGGTGACTAACAGCTGCTTAGCAAGGACAGGCACAGCGTGGATTCAGCCCTGAGATCACGGAGGGAAAGAGGCACTGTGGGCTTTAGCTGGTGCTGTGGAGGCTCAAGGCCCTTTTGTTTAAAGGACTCTCAAGATGAAAGCATGAGTAATTCATTCCTGCGCTGTAGCTATGAGGAGAAGATGACGGTCCACGAGTGTCTGACGTGCTTTTGGAGACAAAAGCCACCAGACTTTTGACCATGTGCCTCCTAATGAATCCCTGATGATTAATTCCATGATTGCCTCTTATCCACTCAATGGGCTTCTATTCATAGCACAGTTCTTTCAGGAAATAGTTTTTCCCCAAGTTTTGGAAAAAGTATTGAAAAGTTGTGAGCTCCCTGACTAAGGAAATGATCCCCAGCACTTTGTGCCTTGTTCAAGGTGCCAGACTTTTGTGATTAGTTTGATCTTCCCTTCTTTTCAGTTCTGGGAATACCCATGATGTGCTTCACCAGGAAGTGCTGTTGGATATGAGCCAYCTGGGCTASTGGAAGGTGTCCCTGCTCATGGCAGGTGGGTTGGAACCAGCTGATCTTTGGCATCCCTTCCAACCCAAACCATTCTGTGATTCTGTAAAAGGTAGGGATGACACGCTGTCCTCAGCAGTCCAGCCCTGTCAGTGGTTGTTTTGCTGTGTCTAACTTCAATCTATTTACTGCAGTAGAAGCCTGTTTCTCTATGTCTGACCCCCTCAGAAAATGGAGAGGAGCACAATCCTTCCCTTCAGCAGCAATTTTTTAACCAACTGAAATTATCACATCTGTCCTCTGTGCCTCCCATGGAAGTACTTCTTTAGTCCATGAACAGTAAAAAGCTGAAGGCTACTCTTCTGCACTGACCAATATTAAGCAAAGCTGTCTTCCTCTGTGGATCCAGTTGGTGAAATAATTCCTGTTTTCTGGGTTTTCTTCTGATTCCCAGCCTCTCTCTTAGCTCCAGTTTGCCCATCCCCTTCCCAGGGGGTGAGTGCATCCAGGGGATGGTTTGACAAGTTGTGTAACCACCCCTTTCTGCCTTCTGGCTTTTTCTGCACTTGGGTAACACTGTTCACACAAAAGCAGTTCTGCCTCCCCCGATGTCAGTCTCCCCACAGTCCTGGGAACCAAGGCAYAATCCTGCAGCCTCTAACGAAGCCATGGCATGTCCCCAGTCCCACACTCATTATGGAGCTCAGACTATGGGCCTACTTGTGCTGCCAGGCACAATTTCATGCTTGGCCAGACATAAACTATGCGTGGTCAGATGTCTTGGGGCTTAGGTGCTCACCTTTAATCTGCCATTCACTTTTTCTGCCTCATTTAGCAAGAGCTACAATCTCTGTGCAGCTTGCAGGAGAGCCTTAGAGTGGCATTTCGAGACTKTCAGGTGGCATGAAGATGGCAAAAATACTACAACGGCCTTTTTCCAGAGTTTTCTGTCTTACRTATTACTTCTTTTGTGAGAAAATGTATTCTAATGGCATGAAAGGAATTCACAAATACAAGTTCAGAGTACTACATTGGAAGAGTATTAGAGGCTATTTTGCAGTGCTCTCTGTGACAGAGGTGAATGCAAGGAGCCAAAGTTCACATGTTCAGTGTCCTCAGGCAATATTTATGTGGCTGTGGGGCTAGAAAATGTTCTTGTGTTTCTTTAAAAGTTAATCCATTTCTGCTGCCCATTAATGTACRTCAGCCTTTACCTTTTCCCAATATGGTATTTTTATTGTAATAGTGATAGCAAATAGTTTAAACCAATGCTCCAGCAACCTGACTGAGCTCTTGTACAGGTTTTATGGGGGAGGTGGGCCAATCCCAGTAGTAATGTCATGGTGTCATTAGYAGTGTTACATAAAATTGTCTCCAAAGGGTGGAAAAGCATGGTGATGCTGATCAGAGCCCTCCTGTATCTGCCAAGTACCAAAGAACAAAAATGACTGGCTTTGGGACAGTAAATCCAACGACAACAAGACTTCATAGAGGAAGATGCAAAATACTGAACATAAATGTTTGCTAAACACTGGAATTTGGGGGAAGTGTGTTATCTAACTACTAAAGCAGTTAAACCTAAAACTAACACAAATTTACTTTTTAGCCACTCCTGAAATAACAATGCCATGGAACTTCWTTTTATGCCAGCTGTGTGTGCTGGGTGCTGTCAGGCCACATCACCCAGCCTGTAAAGTGGATGAAATACATGACTCTGCTTCTCACTGGTCATCCTTAATATTTTTAATAGATTGAGATCTCATTCCTGAAAGATACCACAGGACAGGGAGCCAAACATTATAGGGGTGCTGCACTAAAAGGYGTTTTTGGGGAATATTTTGACTGGTTGATCATGATCCCCAGCTGAGGGACAGCCTCCTGGGCATTCACTGCAATATCTTGGTACTRTTCCTTTCTTGCTTTGTGTGAGCCTGTTTCCATATCTTCCTTCCATGGAAGGACAACTTCACAGAGCAAAATTGCTGAAATAGTGGCACACAATGGCTGGTCTCAGATGGCAAACGCCATCTCATGCACTCTGGTTGCTCTCACTGACCCTTTGCTTTTCACCCCAAACCAGAAACAAACAGCATTGTGAAACATCAGAGACCTCTGAAACAAGGAAAAAATGTTTTACCACCCACACAGCACACTCAGCTGTGCCAGATCTGCTGTCCCCCCCACCATCCCAAATGCAGCGTTCTCTCCTGAGATGCTAAATCTGGAGAGAGTTTGGTTTTTCCATTTAGTGGGACACTTTTGAGACAGCTTTATTCACCAGAGATGCATCTTCACAGGGTAGCTTGGGCCCTCTGGGGTAATAGTGARAAGTGTGTCCTGGAGGGAATGTAACTCTGTGCTGGGATAGGAATAGGGATGACTGTTGTTTTTTTCACAGAGAAATAACAAGCAGAAGGAAATAACAGGATAATAATTGAACTTCTTGGCCCTTTCCCACAAGAGCAGCATATTCYACATTTAAAAGCCCTGGTAGGCCTTTCTTCTCTTTTTTGGAATGTGAAATATGGCTATAATGAACACTGGGACTTCCACAGAAGACAGCTGGACAGCAGCAGCTCATTTTGGAAAGCACATGCCTTCCTTTTTCCTTGCTCAGCTGGCTCCAGGGTCTGCTCTGCAGCCCAAACCAAGCATCCCCCAGCCCAGGAGCCTCCCTGCTCCTCACCCATCCTGGAGACCCCTCTCCACTTGCAGAGCTGTTGGGGCAGGACTGAGCCATGGCCTTGCCATAATGGGGTTATAACCTTAAACTGGTTTGCTCAAGAGCAAGCAGCCGCAGAGCAGCACTCCCAGAGGAAGCTGGCTGTGCGCCTGCACTGGCTCACAGGATGCCAGGCTGCAGGATCTGAGTGTCCCAGGAGAGGCTGTGACAAAAAGCAGACCATTGTGCCCAGCTTTCCTCCATGACTTCAGGGGAGCAGCTTGCTTTTATTAGGAAACGGAAACCTTATCTAATCCCAGGGACAGGCAGCTGGGGCCTGAGGAAAGGCAGTTGCTTTGTGGAGGGTCTGCCAGTAAAATAAGAAGATTGAAAACCCCAGGATACATTTAAATAATGCATTTGGGAAAATGCCACAGATGCCTTGCTGGAGGTGCTTGGATGAGAGATGCATACATGGTAGAGGGAAATTTCTGATGCACAAAATCCCTCGCTGAGGCTTTAATGCCTCAAATCCTGGACTCCAGGGGTGCAGTTTTAGAAGCCTCAGACCTGGTATGCAAAAGTCAAAATCCTCTTTGTATCTTTCCCACTTAGTTCAATCCTTTTAACAATAAATGTAAATCTCTCAGCACAGATGCCCTTTCCTACTGCTGGGATGGGAAATAGCTGCACACCTAATATGAGAATCAGAAGATATTTTACTTCGTCTTCTCCATAGCAAATACAGAGGATTTATGGGAATTGTCATGAGCTGTATTGAAGAATGATGCAGGGCAGAAAATTCCTCACAGGATTTCCTGCTTCAAGCTTTCAATTTATACCTGTATTTCAAAGCCAYTGTTAGAAAAAACACCTTGACTGTGGAGGTAAAAATTCCATCTTAGAAAAATTTTCATGTGATGATTGTGATTTAAAGGTGCACTCTGCACTTCTTATCCATCAGAAAATTTCCCTTGGCCTGTCACCAGACCCTGCTGCTCAGCCAGGCTTAGCCTTACACTGCTGCAACCCAAAGCAAAGGAAACAAGAGTCTCACTGCTGATGTTGTAAGCTCTGCTKCAAGAAAAAATAGTGTTCAAGCCTATGCCATGTCCACATTTATCATTTTAATAGATCATAAACACRTCTCTGCAAAGTCTTAGATTAAATCCTGCAGAGGGCAACCTAAAGGGTAAATTGAATTAAATAAAATCAAATTTATACAGCTGTAGGCTGCTGAATGTCTCTTTCAGTGCCTCCTGCAGATGCTGGATGTAATGCTTTGGATCCTTCCTGGAGTTAACCCTGTGGTGATCCATGCCCATCAATGGGATGATGCTGGTTTACACCAGATGAGAATCTCATCTGTATCACCATCTGTCCATCTCACATTAGGTTTCATACTGTAGTCAGATTGTAACAGATTTGTTAAAAAGCATTTAAACACACAAGAAAATGGACCAGAGGCACGGTGGCACTTTCCCCTAATCAAGGAGAACTTGGAGCCTCCCTCCACATGGCATATCCAATCCAGGCATGTCTGTACACASGGAGATGTAATGGCATGAACAGATCTTCAGTCCAACAGGAGTTGTGAAAGACAGCCCATAAGTGAGAAAAATCTGCTGAAATTCCAGAGGGGCCATGGGAGCCATCCTGGAGGGCAGAGTGTTCCATGTGCTGTGTGTCCCAGCCACGGGGTTTGGTTACCCAGCATTTTCCTCYCCAGGCAGGTAGTGGTTTGTGGCCCAGGTCACAACGTCATGACCTTGTGTCATGCCAGCTCTGCCAGCTGGTTTGTGGAGGAGGAAATAAGACTTGGGTGCTACCACATCCCTGCCCAAGCTCTGCCCCTCGGTTGTTCATGGGCACTAATTAGGAGGAAGGCTCTTGCTCTGCTGCTGTGTAATTATGCAAAGTACAGTCCAGGCCTTAATATAGCACTGAGGCCTTAATATAGTTTTGAGTGAACTGCTTTTGGTTTTCTCCTGCTCTCTGAAAATATATTCAATCTTGTACTAAACAGTGAAGCGGCCTCCCAGCAACAGGATCTGTAATGGAGCATGAGGTGGTCACTGTGCCTGGGCTGGAGCTGCTGCCCCGGAGCTCTTGCAGGAGATTGGTGTCTTGGTGCATCTGTTACCTCTGGGTTCTGAACTTGGGGTAGCAAGTCCAGGAAACTACTCCTTTCTCCACAGCAGTCAAAAGTTTGGGTTGCAGAGGACGAAGGTGGGCTAGCAGATTCTAGATCAGGTGTAGAGGCAGGGTAGGAGGAGGCAGGATGCTGACAGCTGTTTTGGTCCTGTGTTAGAAGCAGCAGATGGTTACTGGAACATCAATTTCAGYGAAGAGTGAGTGGCTCTCCCCTCCATCAGAGCTGCCCAGTGCATGGTGGATTTGCTGAAAAATCGCTGCTCTCCTGGTGCGCCCCAGCCCCCGGAGCGCCAGGATGGCCAGGATGTGCTCCTTCCTGCAGAAAACAAACAAGACCTCACTCACACCTGGCCAGCAAAACCAGCCCAGAGGTGAGCAAAAAACAGCTGTGCTGGAGAGAGCAAGGCTATAGCAAAGTGCCAGAGACTGACCCCTCACCATACTGGAGGAGCCACCAGCAYGGGAATGTGCCTCTGGAGGTACCAAAACAGTGAGCAGCAGCTCCTGCCACACCACACTGGTGAGACTCCCTCCTGCTGCTGGTGCTTCAGGGAATTTCCTCCTCTCTCTCCATGCCTGTGACGTCTTATGCAAGTTTTCCAGAGAGGCTGTGGACCTTTTGTGTAATGATTATTTTGAGCTGAGTAATGGAAGTGCTAATATTTAGGAAGCTGACAGGCACTAATTAGAATAGAGCAGGAAAGCCAAMTTGGAAACAGAACCTGTTCCAGTAATCTCAGTGTATACAAATTCATCAATGTCTCTAAGAGTTCAGAGAAAAATTAACAGGGACCTGAACAGGAAGCAATGCAGGTCCAGCAGGTCCCRCCCCATTTTCCAAACTTCATTGTTAAAAACAATGTTACTCAATAATGGAAAGTCAGAAATTAAATAAACCAAGAGGACAAGCTTTAAAACCTGGCTTGGGTCTGAGGCCAATGATGAAAAAGTACCAGAAATCACAGCCTTGTAAATTGCTTTTCTGACTGGAAAATGGTTTTCAAATAGCCATCATTGATGACAAGCCATCATTTATCTCCCCCATCCTTCCCAGAACAGGCACTGCCTCTTTCTCAGCTTGGTCTGGCCACTGGGATTAAACCTTTTGGGCTTTTGGTAAGTTGGTTGGTTTTGTTTGATTTGGTTTTTTTTTTTTTTTTTTTTCTTTCTCAGCTTGGTCTGGCCACTGGGATTAAACCTTTTGGGCTTTTGGTAAGTTGGTTGGTTTTGTTTGATTTGGTTTTTTTTTTTTTGTTAGATAGGTGCATTCGCCTAGGAAATTACTCAGGAACAATTGTTCCTTTACATGCCTGTATCTTAAATTTCCCCACACAGATAAGCCTGAAGCATATCTGACCCACTCAAGTTAAATTTAGTTACAAAGAATTTTGAGCCTCAWTTTGGGGGAGAGGAAAAGATATTTAATGTGCTCAATTTTCTCAATATTTGAGGGTCCACTTCGTTATTCTAGCAATTMAATTATTTTGATTGCATAAGAGTCACATATAAGGGACTGTGTAAGCCAGTACTGAAATCTTTGGGGCTTTTTTCCTGAAATTACTCTGATGAAATGGAATTTTTTTCAATCTGTATCACTGATATTCGTTCTTAGTCGTTGAAAGAAGAGCTGTGGAAGAGGAGGTAACTTCTGATTCTCAGCTCTTTAGCCATGCACAGAGCTAGTCACTTTCTTTACTTTTCCAGTAGTTTTAAATTTTCCAGATGCAGCTTTGGAACAGCAAGTGGAAAGTACAAAAGAAAGAATTTGTAATTTATTCCAAAATTTAATGGTTGTGTTGAGGCCGTTTCAGAAACTGCAGCTGAACTGTGTCAATGGCTGCCTCACTTTGAGGTCTGAGCCTGGGAACAGGAGACAAACTTTTTGTTCCAATTCTGAAGCCTGCAAATTGGCAAACAGGGCTGATACTAGTGCTACACTGAAAAGCAAACTGGAGCTTTACTGTGAAACAAGATTCATTTAGAACAATAAAGTGGAATTCAGGATGCATGAGAATGGTTCAAAACTGTGTCAGGGGAGCTCTAGAGTTGACATCAGGAAGCATTTCTTTACTGAGGGGGTGGTCTAACACTGGAACAAGCTTCCTAGAGTGRTGATTGATGTCTCAAGCCTGTCAGTGCTCAAGAGGCATTGGGACAATGCCCTAAATAGTTTACATTAACTTTTGGTCAGGCCTGAAGAGATCAGGAAGTTGGGCTGGATGATTGTTGTAGGTCCCTTGTTGACTGAAACAGTTATTCTTTTCTATTCTATTCTATTCTATTCTATTCTATTCTATTCTATTCTATTCTATTCTATTCCATTCCATTCCATTCCATTCCATTCCATTCCATTCCATTCCATTCCATTCCATTCCATTCCACTCCATTCCATCCCATTCCATCCCATTCTATTCTAAAATGTAAAGGCTTTGAAGATAATTTGTGTGCAGAATATACAGCCCACGGAAAAAAGAAAGAAAAAGTATGCAGTCACAAAGAGAGGAAAATAAGTTGAGATTCCTGCTGTTACTGGCACCCTGATCTCTAACATGTGGTCCCCAACACAGAGAAGCTGAAGAGCTCGACCAAGGCACAGGGAGAGCTGGTGCTGTTTGGGATGGAGCCCAACAGTTCTGGCATCTGCAGTTCCATGTACCTGATATCCGGATAATCCTGGCACAGTTTCTTGGCATACACCTTGATCCTGTCCTCCTTCTTCTCTCCAATGATATTGGCAATGTGGCTTATGGCAGGGAGGAGCCAGTCAGCATCAGAGCCCTGTGGGTGAAGAGACACAGGGGGACATCAGGACCAGCAGCACCTGCTAAATGCCTTTTTCCCTGCAGTGAGAGCACAGCAGCGGCAATGGGATGTTTTTACTGGTGTGAGCCAGGACTGGTGCAGGCAGGACAGGCTGCCTCAGACAGGCAGCAGGCTGCTGGGTGGCCATGGCAAGGCACCCCCAGGAGCTCTCCAGGCCTGACCCTGCGCTTCCCAATGCCCASGAGCACCCAAGCAAGCCAGACCCTGAGCAGGGCATTGTGGCTGTGGTCCAGCATAGCAGCAGATGCCAGAGACTTCACCTCCTGCTGCCTGATGACTTCATGTGCCTCATCMCTGAGAAGAGATTTATGCCCTGGATGCTTGACTTTCTGCAAAATCCAATTAATTCAAATTTGACTTCCCTGAAAATCTCAGACTGATGTTGCTGTGAGAGACCAAAATGTTAAAGGTTAATGCCTCAACTGTGACCATCATTGTGACCAACAGACACCTAAATTGCAACAATCAAATCTTGTTRCTGGGTCTGTGGGTGGTGAAACCTTTCCTCTCTGCTGTCTTTCTTTTCCTTATATATTTTCTCACAAATCTTCTCCTGGGACTCATCTCCATGAGCTGTATCCAGGGCAGGAATCCTTTGGTGACAAAGTGTATCCCACGGTCCAAGGGGACAGGCCCAGGAAGAAGCTGCTGTGGGATGAATGTGATCCTAGAGCACATGAACCACCCTATGCAAAGCTTCTGCACCCTTGGGAACATGTTGTAATGCCAGGTGCTGCCATCAGAGAGCTGCCAGCTGGGCATGCAGAGAGGCTGGAAACCCACACCATGAACCTGCAGTAACCACCTCGTTTGCTGTTTTTTTTAAACATTTCTATATTTCTTGAGGCTTGGCCTCCTCAGGAGCCTGTTGCCTCTTTGCTGGGAAGCCAAGGGGGAATATTGCACCTCTGGGACTGGGGCAGCCAGGGGATGCCAGGAGAGAACTCACATACCTGATCAATGAGTGTATTGTGAATGACTGCAGCTTCCAGGCTCATCTTTCTGCTCACTTGCTGCCGTGTTTCCCTGTTCATTCTCCATCTGGGTTTGATGACCTGTGTGATATATTCCTTCACCACATATTTATGAACTTCTTGTAGAAGCTCCTGGTTAAAAAAATAAACAAACTTCATGGTTTTTCTGTGGTTCCTGTGCAAGGCCAAGACAGTGAGAGAGGGCAGGGAAAGCTCTCAGGTTTTTGGCAGCACCTGAGGGTATAGAGGAGGTACAGGAAGGCAGCACATCAGCACACATTGGCCAGGCCAGCCCTGCCAAAGGGAGTCAGCAGCTCACAGCCCCTTGATCTGGCACAGAGCTATGGCTGTGCCCAAGGGAATGCCAGGGAAATACCCCTCACCCTGAAACAGCCCATGATGGCAGTTTGGATTCTTAGTAGCAGAGGGGGCTATTTTGGATTGGCTTAAAAGCCAATTTTCATGGGCCTTGCAGATTTTAAATGTAGAGCTGTTGTCAGCTACACATTTATTTCACACCTGCAAACTGCATAGATGTGAACGGAGMATATAAGCCTGCAACTCATGGAATTGTAATGTCCGGTAATCCTCAATGGAGCTTTTTGTTCTTCTTTAAACAAAATTAGTTCCTGTATTTAAACTACAGAATGAAAAGTTGCTCTTTATTCTCATGTGGAAGTACAGTAATAGCAGAACTCCCTAATTTCTGCAGCCGCCCCAGTGATAAACAACCATTGCTGTAGAGGAGGCTGCATGCCTGACCACAGCCTGAAAATGATGGTGTGAGCCCCCATCCCTGTGCCCAGATGTGGGACTGGCTGCCTACCTGCCCCAGGGGCTCCCTCATGTGCTGCAGGTGCTCGGAGAACTGCGACACTGCTGACGCCAGTGAGTCCGGCCTTTCCGTCGCCAAAATCCAGTTCTTGGTCAGGATTTTCTTGAGGAGTGGCTGAAAAAAGATCAACTCACTGATGGCTCGGGTATATTCAGAGTAGATTATGATGCTCTAGCTGAGGGCACCCAGCTATATGCTGATCTCAGGCTTGAACTGAAAGCACAGAGGGACCCTCYGCATGAATTCACACCAGGAGCAGGCTGGGTTTCTCTCTCCCCCCCAGGGAATTCAGACCCATGTCTCCCCTTTCTGGGGAGGCATCCCTGTGCAGAGGGGAGAAGCATCATTCCCAGAGCAGATGTTTTAGCATTAAAGGCTTGTTTAKGATACCTCATTTCCTTGCTCTGTGCCACCTTTTGACGCACCAGCTCTACTGCTTTAGGTAAATAAATGTGTTGGTGAAGAAAGAGATGTGAATATTAATCACAGGAAACTCTGGCATGCCTAGACCAGGCTGTGGTGGGCAGTCCTGTTTACCGGTGTTACATGGGTTTGCACCAGTGGAAATGAGAAGTCACTTTGTTGTGAATCTGTTGGAAATCTGTTGGCATGTCCCCTTCTCTCCTCCTAGCTCTCAGGATCTCTGTTTTCAGGCTCCTGGCAATCTCCTTCCCAATTATTTCCCCCCTTGCTGTGCTCCCAGCCTGCTGGAGAGCTGTTTAGAAATGCTTTGCCTCAGCCTCTCTCAGTTCTCACGGCATTTCAGCTCTCTTGCTCAATGCCTTGGCTTTGGGCCTCTCCTCGCCTGCTGCTTAGGCTCCAGGACAAGATCTGCAGTCACTGGAAAGTCCCCTTGGCCAGAAGGSCTTGGCTTATGCTGGAGAAGTTCCATTACTGTTTTGGTTTCTGGAAGCTGCGTTTGGGGATTTAGAAAGTGAATTAAGACGAGTGAAAAGGGATGGGAACAAAGGCTTGATTTACCCCATCTCTTATATGATACCAGCAGGAGTTTATCAATCCATACCCCAGACCTTTAGCATCCTCACTAGGGAACAATCAGTCTTTTGTCACCATGGGAACAACCTGGAAAAACCACCTCTAYTGGAATGAATTCTGTTCTATCTGAAGAGGTTTCTAATGATGGTAGAGCTACAAATCTGCATGTCAAAGTCCTGAAAAATCCAAATTATTTGATAGAAGGAAAAGTGTCCCATTGGTGGTGTTCAACTGGCTTCTCCAGCGCTTCACTTTGGGTAAGGTTTTCCCCCACTGCTTTGCCAGAGAGACTGGAGGCTGCTAAATAYCCTTTTCATTTGATAGTTATTAACAGCTTGACAAATGTATCATTGCTCACAGCAAAAAAATTCCCTGAATGCTGGAATTGTTGCTTTGTAAGGAGGATTTCTACAAGTGTTAGACATGAGTAATTTTGGAGGGACCATAATGTAATGTGCTGCAAAATGAGGTTTAGTTGGTGAGACAAGGGAAGGCCGATGACCCGAACCTGCTGCACACAACCCTTATATTGAGGAAATAATGTGGCCAAGATCCTCTTACCTGTGCATTTGTTCTTAATTTGGTTAAAAAAATATTTGCGAAGTTCTTTGTCAGAGCTGCCAAAATCTTCTGCAGTTCTTCTGTGTTGACTTTAAACACTGTTTCTAACCSTGACCTACAGAGAGACAGAGATCACCAATTAGTTAATGTTAAAATGTAAACTATTACAGTGCCCTAAGCGTTTTATCTAGATTGGCATGTTGGATATTATTTTTAAATAAACTTGTGTTTCTAGTACTTCCTCTTCAAAACACTTAATGGGGCAAAATAATGGCTCTTTTTGCACAATCCTGTACACTGAAAATTAATCATAGCTGAGTAACTGTGGTTAAAAAAACCCACAGATTTTCTCATCAGGTGGGACAGTCCAGCCATGCGGAGCAGTTGCGTAGTCTGGTTGCTTTTTCACTYGAGCAGCACCTCTGCTAAATGATTTCCAGGTACCTGAGGGCTATGGAGGAAGAGAAAAGTAAATAATAAAGCCAGAGAAGGAAAAACTGCTGACCCTGTGTCCTCCAGAGCCTGTCTGATTCACTTCWCACAACATCTATTAGCAGTGGCTGGGATGGTAACTACGGGGATGGAAATCTGTGGAATTTCCTAAGGACAGTGCATACTTCTGCAATGTTTCACCCTATGAGGAAGAAAACTTCTGAGGTTAGTGAAATTCCCATTATGTGCTTTAGGGGCACTGCAAACTTCTGGCTTTCTTCTCACTTTCCACCCCTGTCCCACTGTGGGCGGAACTGAGCAACTGAGGCAGCATCACAACAAAAAAGGGCATCAGCAGTGATGCCCGAGCTTCCCTGGATGTGCCACATCCACTGCTGCAAACACAGAGAACAGCAGGTTCCTGTCACTGCCCAGATTTATATGTCTGAGGCTGCCCTGGCAGGTCTGTGAAGCACCCAACACCATCCCTGTCATTCCAGGCTGGAGCTCAGGACTGTAACTCCAGTTGAATATTTGAAATCTGGATCCAGCATTCAAAAAATCCTGCTGTCAGGACATCTATCTCTGCCCCACAACTCATCACTCAGGCTGATGAATTTTTAACTTCACTCAGAAAYAAACCCATGGGGGCCAATCCACCTCCCAAACACTGCCAGCTCCCTGCTTGGGGCTGGCATCTCCCTTCCCCTGCGCAGTGTCCAGCAGGGAAAGGGCAGCACTGTCCCGCAGGGGCAGCAGAAGGCAGGGAAAGCCAGCTCCTCGGCGAGGTGAGCATTGCTGGAGAGACCGTGCCATCTAGAGATTCCCGGCGGTAGTGCTCGCTGCGGCGGGAGCCGCCGGCCCCTGCGAGACRCCGAGCACGAAATCCCCTCCATCCCCTGAGTGATGCCCGGCACAGAGCATCCCTGCCGGGGCAGTGCCAGGCAGCGCTGCAGCAGCACGGGCTGGAGATCACAACCCCAGCTTCTCGGTGGGGCCAGAGCCCAYGCACTGCTCCTGTGTTGTTTTGCTAGCAAAAAAAAAAAAAAGCACATCTGCATGGCAGAAAGGACCCCAGATATTGATGAACTCCTGCGCCTCAGCATGGGGCTGATGGACCAGACCCTGGACCATGCACTCGCTGCCACCATGTCACTTCTGGGGTGAGTGACAGTCAGATCTGTGACACTCAGAACTGATGATATCTGCTCATCAGAGGCACTTTCCAACACATGGCTTGAAATAACTAATTCATGCAAAGCCCTGGAAGTTCCAGATGCCAGCAGCAATGGCAGGCATTTATTTTTGGGTTGAGTGCTCTCATGGAGYTTCTTCCAGCCCAGTGCCAAAGGAAGCCTTGAGACTGTGTTTCTGGGTTTAAATTGCTAACCTCCAGAACAAAAAATGGAAAAAACTTTCCTCTAAGGCCAAAAAAGATGTCCTGAAAAAGAGTTTAAAGTTTTCATGCAAGCACTGGATCCATCCTTATTTCTATCTCTTCACCCTTTTGGCTTTTATCTGCATCTCTTGGGGAAAATCCTCCTGTGAATTGGAAGTGCTGAAGGCTGAACACCCACCGGTGCATCTCTAGGAGATCTTGGTTATTCCTTTCCAGATCCTGCCACCCTCCCAGACCCCAGAAATGTGATAGCTCAGCTCAGGGGGAGCAGACTTACAGCAGGTCGTGGAAGTTGTTGATGTAGGCAATGAGATAGGGCACAAAGATGGGGCTGTCCCGGGCTGTGCTCCACGCYGTGAACTCCTGCTCGAACCTGTAGGAAAATACACCCAGGTAACACTAACGGTGGGGGCTCTGAGGATGCCTCATCTCCTGTGTGTTGTGGTGTCAGGAGACGCCCATGGCTGGCCCAACCTGTCCCCTCTGTATGCAGACAAGTTTTTTCCAGCTGTCATAACATGTGTGTGCAGTGGAGGGGAATAGATGGCAGATAATTATGGGTTTAGGATGCGCTCGCCTGAGCAGGTACGCAGCACTCTTGGAGAGATGCCAGGGATGTTGGGAGGCCAAATCTCTGACTTTTCCTCAYGCTGAGGGTTTAATTGCAGCTCTGGTACACAGGCTTGTAAGTCTAAGCCTTCATTTCTCTGGCTTTTGGGGCAATATATTATGTGCCCTTTAAACACACAGGGAAAGAATTTAGTGAGGGCTGATTTTATGACAGAAGGTGAATGGGAATAGGGCAGCACACCTACCTTCCCCCCCTAAAAAAAACCTCAGCATGGTTGTTTTTTGTATAGCACAAATTTTATGGGTTTGACAGCTGTTTTATAGCCTTTATAGGTCCTTGCTGAAGGCAGGAGGATGTGTGCTCAGGCAGGCTTTGCCTGGTGGTCCCGTTTTTTATCATGGTAAAGGAGCCTGCTTGATCTGGCCTCAGCCACTTGCATCTCAGGTTTGTTTAAGCAAAAGCTTAAGTTTCAGTGGTCCCTTAATCTGAGATGCCTGGCTGCTCCAGCTTGCATTTTACACAATTTTTTAAAACATCAATAAAACAAGAGAGAAAAGGAAAAAAAAATTTAAAAAAAAAGAGAGAGAAAAAAGAAAAGGGAAAATAAGAAAAAATGAAAAAACATTATTTCAACAATCTCCTTTGGACACTGGGTCAATTTTAAAGGATTCAGGAGGAGGCAGCCCAGCCGTGTGTTTTGCCCTGGTGTAGCAGAGAGGGTCTCATCAGCCATTTTTTATGCCCATAGCCATGGGATGCCAGAGAAAACTGCTCAGCAGGACTCATCCCAGGATACCTAGATGATGTTTTGGTCAAGCAGGCTTTGGGTCTGAGGGATCCATAACCACTGCTTGCTCATGACTGAAGCTGCAAGTGACCAGTGTCCGGTGTCACGAAAGTCCAGGGTAGATGGGACTGCAGTGGTCCCATCCCTTTCCACAGAGCAGCTCCTTCCCGTAACTCTGACATTACATTTTTGGACTCACAAGTGTCCCATCTGGGTCTGTTTATGAGKCCCTCCAAGTTGTTTTGCAGCTTGCTCATTACTGGGCTTATTGTGATCTCTGATTCTCCCAGGATTAGCCCTGTGCCTGCTCAGATCCAGTGTCTGGTCAGGCACGTGGACCTTTTCCCTGTTTTTTTACCAATGTGGAACTCATTTGGAAAGAAAGTGCTGCCCAGAGCAGTGATGACCTTGGTATGAATTYGAGCAGCTCTGCCATGCACAACTCAAGCATTTTTGTTTCCAGGCTTCTGCTGATAGCTCCAGATAACTTCATGTGCTCCCCAATGATCTAGAAAATGAAAATACTCCAGTGAGTGGGACAAGCACGGGTGAAACATCCTTCACAAGGGTCTCATGCAGCTTTGGTCAGTGAGAATAGCTCACCTAGCAAAGGGGCAAACAGCTGACTTGTTGCCAGGAGGTTTTCATTAACCTCTGGAAGTTTTAAAAATTATAATGCAGAATGGGCCAAGAAGCATCAAATGATTTGCAATAGAATAGTTCATTCCTAATGGCCTCCAGCCTTTCTGCTGTCTGAGTGTGAGTTATAGGTGGTGTTGGGTGGAGTCCCAAGGTGTCCTGGTGTCATCCTCCTCTTTTGGGGGGAATTGGGGGAGGGATCAATCCCCAGCCCAAATCCCAAGGGGAGCTGAGCTGTTCCCAGGTATGCCCCCATGATGAAGGTGATTATAAGCCCCATCCCTGAAGGTYCACACATGCCCCCTTCTCAGAAGTGATACCAGGGCAGCACAGAGGGTCAGCCATCATCCTGAACTCTTGATTGCACTGGAACTCCTCCCATATTCCCATTCCCACAACCCCAGCTGTGCTTCTGGAGTGAGGAGTGTTACAGTCCYATTCTGGTACTTCCCAAGGCATCCTATCCATCTGCTAATTCAATTCAGACCTGCCTTCCCTGTGATCACAAAATGTGTAATATTCCTCTATGGAAAAAGAGTCACGTCAGCAGGCAAAACTCTTTGATTTTATTTCTTTCTCTCTCCCTCTCTTTTTTTGTTAGCATTACTTAATGGAGGTGACTCAACCAATTGAGTGATGAGAATGAATCCAAATCCCTCCTTCATTTATTACCCTGTAGTCCCTAAAGCTAGTAGGAGCTTTTGTTTTTTGTACTGTTTAAATTGTAGTGGCTGTCACTGCCTACGGCCTTTCCCTGGCTTCCACAGCCCTGGGACAAAGTTGCTCTTTAAGCCAAAGGCTTTTTCAAATAAACCTTTTGTTTCCACCTTTTTCCCCATTCTCTTTCTTCTTCCTAATCAAAGAGCTTTAAGGACTTTAAAATCAGTTGTCTATTATGTTGCTGACACAATTGACAGCGGGTTTAATTTGCAGCTAGAGGGCAAGCGGGAGAGCTAAAATTTGTAATAAACGGCATTTTCTGCTCTAATGTATTCTGCCAGTGCGTGACTTACATAAATTATCGCAGGAGGCGGTACCTCCACCCCAGAAGGTAACAATCCAGTTTCCCTGGAGCCACAGWGAACCCCCCTCCTTTCCCCCAGCTTATTAAATACCGTTTGAATATCAAAAGAGAGTGAGGCGTGGTAGAGGTTTTCCTTCTCTTCTGAATGAACTTCCTTCTCCCACTTCTCCGTGACCTCCAGTCTCAGGATGTTTCCAAAATAACTTTTGATTTTCCCCTAAATGTTGAACAGAGAAAGGAAACGTGCAGCTCAGGATAATGAAGCAAACAGGAGCTCAGCACCTCGCTGTGTTTTGCTCCATCAGCAGGTATGTGTGTCCAACACACACAGCATGGAAAGTTGAGCAGGCACAGGCCTTGCTCCTGACCTGTGCATCTAAACAGAACCCCAAGAGAAGTCAGGAGCTGTGCTGTGTGTCGGCGAGGTACTCCCAAAACAAAGGAGAGTCATTCCCCTGGCAGGGAAACAGTGGGTCAGGTGTTTGATTGCAAAATCCTCCAGCACAAGGAATGCACTGGGTCAGGATTAAAGATCAAACCAGCCCTCTCTGGTGGTGCACACAGGTAAGCTGGCAGTATTGTTCAGTCCCAGCTGATAAATCAGTTTGTTGCCAGTGAAACAAAGTGATCTTTCACCAGCATGGTGGAGCAATACTGAGTTCATTCAGCTGGACACCTTGAGCTCACCTTGAGCTGGGCCCTGATTCAGAAATGATTTCCAAGAAAATGTCTGAGCCCAGCAAAGAGCCAGGAAAGTCTTAAACAGGGTGCCAGACAAGGACTGCAGCAAAAAAACTGGGAAGTGGCTTTATCAGAGGACGTAAACCATGAGTGTGTCCTCTGGTGGGGATTCCAAAAGTCTGCCAATAGCAAACCTCAAACATGCTGGAGGGGATCCCACACAGTGACAGCAGCAGTTAACATGCTTTTACCCCTAACTTTGCAATGTGTTCAATCTGGTGAAGCCCAGCTATGACCTTTCAGTAAATCTCTGCCACACTGAGTGGGGCTGTTGGCTCGGCTTGGGTCCCTGAGTTGGTGTTCAGAAATKTTTTGCTTTAGATTACAGGCCACTATGTGTGGGGCCAGTAGCACCCAGTACCTGGTGGGGGTGGAAACGACAGTGCAGTCATCCAAGATCTCTGTCTGYGAGGCTGGGGCTCCTGTACCTTCCCTGGGGGGCACCTGGGGACTAGGTCAAAACTCTCACCTTTGCTGAAGCAATGTAGTCGCTTTTCAGTTTCTCCCAATCAGTTGGTGTTAACAGCAGGGACAGATTTTCTGTCTTRACTTCAGGTTTGAGGTCAGGATGACCCAGAAAGAGTTCACTGGAAAGAATCAAATGAACAAATTWTAATGCCTCAGAGTGTGAATAAACTGATGGAATATTCATGCAGCATGAGCTACATAATTATTAAGCCATGAGAAATATACTTAAAGCTTAAATTGTGCTGCCTGTTTTCAAGGTTTAACAAGAAAATCTTTCCTTTCTATTCAAAATCYTAATTATTCAAACCCAAAATGATCTAAGGTTCCAGCCCACTTCAGAAATCATGAGACTTCTGAGTTGTTTGGACACGAAAAGTGCTATGAGAATTTACTTTTTAAAATAAACAACATGAAGCTGATTCATTTGAGCTCACAAAATGCCTTTCAGGGTAATTCCTGTAGTAGCAGGTTGCTCTGGAGTTAGCCCATCTCCCTGCCTCCTCTGCAGTGTCACATCACAGCTCCTGTCAGCCTGTCAGATTTTTCTCTGTGCCTTTTTTTCCTGTCAGATTTTTCTCTTGCCTTGTCCCGAGCCAGGGGAGGTGGCAGAGCAGGACCTGGAAGGGGCTCCCGTGTCTGGGACACGAACGATKCTCCCCCGCAGATGGAAGGGGTGGRTGGGGGTCCAGCTACAGAGTCTGGCTCCAAAGAGGGCTCAGCTGACTTTGCCACTCACTTCCCTCCGGACTGACATGTAATCAGGCCGGCTGACTAGCATAGAAACAGAGAAAGGGAGGGAGTGCCTGTGTTACTGTCTCTGGGGCAAAAAAACGTTATTAGCCTGTAAAATTGAATGTGCTACTCATGCAACCTGTCACAGACCGTGGGGGCACCACATCTTATAGGATGATGAAGGTGGAAAAGAGAAAGAAGAAAGCATTCATGCTCTTGATGAAGGTGGGGTRTAAGCTTTGAGCTGCCATCTTGTTAATCAGGGAACATGGCTGTGATGTCCTGCACACAGCCTGAGCATTTGCTCAGCCWCCAAAAAGGGGTTCCCACTGCCACACCACCACTGCACCAACAGTTAGGCTCAGATACAAGTGAGGATTGTAGTGTACAAAGTCAGGCTGCTGCGGAGTGACTGCTCAGCAGAAAATAAGCTCAGCCTGCTGATAGTGTCCTGGAGTCAATGCTTCCGTAGCCATGGTTCAGATTTCCCAGAGAGACACATCTCCACATGTGGAGCATTGCACAGCCCAGCTGCTGCCAGAGCCTGCTGTTCCTTCTRAAGGATAACACAGATTTAAATGCTAACTCTCCACCACAACTGAAAGGACTGTCTCAAATCTATGCTCAAGGAGCTTATTCCCACCTTTCTGTTTTTTGGGTTTTTTTTTTATATGTTTGAATTGTGACATCAATAATGAGTTTGGGTCAGTCAACCTCTTTTTTGTTTATTTATCCCAGGAGACAATTAAGTTTTTTGAATGGGAAAATCAAATGGAAACAGCCTAGAACAGCCAGGTGATTGCAAGCAGTGCCCAAAACAACTGCAAACTCTCAATAAACTCTTTCACAGCAATTTAGAGAAATATGGTGGGGGAACTTTTCTTTGGTGCAGAACCTGGCTGCTGAAGCTGATTCTTTCCCTGCTCTCCTGCAATGCTGGGGTGGGGCCATGCAGGAATTTCCCTTCGCATGAGATCTGCAGGGATTGATGATGCTGAGTGGTTACACACTGTCACCACGCTGTGGATGGGGTTTTAAGAACAACTGGACAAGTTCACAGAAGAAACCTGTTGTGGGCTGTTCAAAACAAAGACCACCTGCAGTGCAAATGTTTCTTACACAAAAACTACCCCAGGCTAGGGGTGTTCTGGGCAACAGTGTGCTGCTGCTTGCCCTGCTCCATCACTGCCCCCTTTCTGATCATTTTGACCCACTGTTTGGCTCAGTGCTCATAATCCTGCCTTTACTCCTTTGTTTTATTTGAAGGCTGCCAGTGGGTTTGTGTTTGTCCCTTCCTCGGACATTTGGTTCAGGCTATACCTGGAAACCAGCTACCAGGACAAATACAGCTACCAGGACAGACACAATTTTGTTTTGATGTAACTATTTCCACATGCTTATCTTCCAGAGCCCTGAACTGCAAGGAGCTGTAAGACATCTTAAAACCCTCCCATTCAACTACCAGACACATCTGAGACAGAGCCTTTGTTTTCATGTGTCTWATCATCCTCACTGATGTCTCAAGAGGGCTCTGACCCCATGCATGGGGGTTAACATGGCCCGTTTCCAAATGCATCAGAGTTTTAATTAAACAGGAAAAAGACCTCCCCCACAGGCCCCTCCTGTGCCTGGAAAAGTTACTAAACAGCTGTTGGATCTTGCACAATATCTGCAGAAAGGAGCAGGTTTATCAGAGCAGGTTTATCAATGCAAGGAGGAGCTTCTTGGCATGTGGGTGCAGCAAGAGGGAGGGGAAAATGGGGTGATGTAGATAATGTAAAAAGCACCAAGTGCTTTAACCACAGATCTTTGTCCCCRTCTATTAACAGATTTGCTATCTGGCTCCACTGCACCTCTATCGCTTGCTTGGAAAACTGAGAATTGCTCGGTGCTTCTGGAGTGCCCCATGGCCCTGTGGTTCCCTGGAGGAGGCAGAGGCACTGTGGCAAACACAACAGCTCACCTGTGGTAGGTGTTGGCCACCCAGTTGAGCAAGGTGTAGAGTTCATGGAAGTCCAGTGGTCCCTGGGAGAGTTCTTGCAAATGGGAGGCAATGGCATTGTGAAAAGCTTCCACATAAGTGTCACACACCTGGTATTCCTCTGGATAGCATTTTTTAACTGATAACTTGATTTTCAGTAAATCTTCCCTCAGGCGTTCCTGAAGGAAATGTAAGTGGAGATCAAGCCAAGAGTTTGCTTCTTCCCTTGATGCCATGGGTGCCTTCAGGACTCTTTTTCTTGCACTCTCATTGATAGCTTCCCTCCACTGCTCCCTCCATCTTCTGGGCCTGCCGAGCAAGTCTGACCCGGGACAAACTGAAGTGTCTGTGYTGGGATGAGCTGCTTCCTCACGGGCAATTAAAGTCACCATGGAGGTCAGCATGGTGTGCTCTAAAGTGGGATCCTCCAGTGTTTCCTCCACTATGGACWGGATCACACTTGAGATGGAGTTATAAAGCAAATCCACATCCTTGGATTTCCGTACAAACTCCTGGGGGTTATCTCTGTATTTCTCAGCATCCCAGTCAGAGATTGTCTCATCTTCCATTAACTTGATGCTTGCAAATGCTTCTAAAAGTTGTCGTTTCTGAATAAGTTCATTGATTTCCATTACTGCAGAAAGAGGAAGGAAAGAGGGACAAAGCAGGCATTAGGATATGAACGGGTTGGGAACAGGACAAGCTGCCCCACAGGGAGACTTGCAAGGGGCTGTTCAGAGTAGTCAGGACCCAGAAGTGCCTCTGAGAAAGTCAGTCCCAGCCCTGCCTCCCTTCTCTCCAACTCCTGTTTGAGACCGGAGAGGAAAACAAARGGAAAACAATCGCTGCAAATTGAGCCACATCCCTAAGCAGCTGGTCACAGAGGCAGAAAATATAAAAAAAATCCTGATGATAGCCCCACAGGAAGACCTGAAGCAATGGCTGACGAGGCTGCACAGAGGGACACTGGAAGCTCAGGCTGTGTAAAACCATCTCTGGTTCTACCCCTCTGCTAGTGTGGAGGTGAGGTGTAACTGGTAGCAGGAATGGTTCAGGATATACCTTACCAGCAGGATTTCCTTTAGCATGGATGTCTTTTTTCCCTGCACATCCCTGTGCTCAGCACATCTCTGCTGCTGAGTTGGCCATGGTGGTGTAGCCCATCCCTGGCACCTCTGTCTGAAATGGCATTTTAGTTTGCTGCCCAAGAGGGCAGGCACAGTGCCCAGGTTCTGGCTGGAGCACGGGGAGGGAGCACAGCAGGACAGACCCCTTTGGGTGTCCTGAGCTCTTGGGTCAGATTTCTCACTCCGTGGTTGTGTCTGTCCCAGCCTCCCCATGAGCCCATCCTCAGAGATGCTGGGGTCCTGAGAGAGCCTCCTGTACATGAGCCTTCAATCAGGTGCCAAGCACAGCCTTGCACCAGTGATGCTTTTTTCCCAAGTGCAGAACACTGCTGCCCCTGAGGGGTTTGGGGAGCTGTGGGCATCGGAGGGGCATCAAAACCCGTGGATTTGTGGTGCTTCAGGCACTCAGGTCTCGTGTGGGTTTTCCCCAGTGCCTYTGCTTTTGGCACCCACTACCAGACCTGGCTGGTGTTGGCTGATGCTGGGGGGAAAGTCACCAAATACTGCTTCCCCCAAAGTAGCTGAGGTCTACTGAGTTTCCCATTTTCCAAAGTCCTGCTTATGCAAGAACCAGTGCCTGTTTACCAGTGAGATAAGAAGTATTTGCCATGTGTTGAGAAGATCCAAGAGCACYGTTAGTATTTGAGAGACCCCAGGAAGCTCTCGCCATCTCCAGCATCGTAACAGATGCTCTGAAAAGAAGATGCCATTCTGATACCAGGTATAAGGCAAATATTAAAGAGAAGGGAAAGGGTGTCATTTAGGCAYGTGTGGCCACTGCTTCTGGGACATACACACACAAAAAGATGTGGAAAGAGTGGAGAGCACTCAAAGATATGAAGGACTGGTTCATAGCTTGTCTGCACACAGGTTTTATACCATATGTACCAAGTAATCTTTGTAGCATAAGAATATATGCATGAAGACCGAAATGTGCTATGTAACGCAACTATTGATGCATCAGAGAACACATAGATCTTTAAATGCCTGTATGGTGCTACAGTTGCTTCTGCACTCAGAAGAGAGGCAAATTCCACCCATTAATTTTGTCTCTTCTAGATAAATTAATATAAAACCTGTGTTTACACAAATGCATGCAGTGAGAGACTAGAGGAATACATTCTGTTCTGTTTATCAAAGTGAGAAAACACCATTTAATCATCATCTAGGATAATTATTCAGGGAGGTGATGTTGGGTGCTAAATGGATCTTTAATTTAGCAATACAAGATCAGCCAGCTGGTGGTTGAAGGAAGACAATTGAAAGGCAATTAACTATTTTGCAGCTTAATGGTGCACATGGTGGAGTCTCCATCATTTGCCATACTTATCTCAGGATGGGYTGTGTTTTTGACAGAGCTGCTCTAGTCCAGGCCAAACACAAGCTATTGGGAAGAGAATGGGTGTTATTYGTGCAATTTCTCAGCTTGCTTATTGCAGGAGATCACAAAGCTTGTGATAACATTTTCTGCTGCTCCTCATCTATGACCCTTGGGGATCAGACTAGCAGACTTTACGAGATGGGCTCCGATCCAGCTTATCATCCTCACAAGGTATCAGTGCAAAGCAGTAAATCACTCCATGGCACAGTAGGGCACATCCCAGCAGYGAGGCAATGGCAGCCCATCTATCTGATCCCTGTGGCACCCTGTAGAATACCAAGGATTTCTTTCTAGAAATTGAGACTGAGGAAAGGTCAAGTCATGTTGTCCCACCTCAGTCTATCTCCAGGTGAACACGTTGTAGCACCTCTGCCTTGAGAAGGGGGAGGAGAGCAGTGCTCAAACCATGTTCATTGCAGTCTGCCCATGCCTGGGGTAAGGTGAGAGCTAAGCTGAAGGGAGTTTTCATAATTTGACTGAGACATATCTACATAATGCTGACAAAACACATGAGAGTAACGAGCCTGAGGAAGACAAACAACAAATACTTGCAGCACTGCAGTTGTGAGGAGGACAGGCAGAAAGTAGATGCAAGAGAGCAAAGTATCTGTGGAAGTCTTCTTTGCAACAAGGATCTCTAAGATTAGGAGCCAAAGTGGAGCTTCCAAACCAGATCACTGCCAAGCCAACTTTCTTGCCCTCAAGGCCTTGCAGCACCCTACAGAGCACAGTCAGAGGACCAGCAGTCTGAGAGTGAAGAGCAGAAATTGCCCAGAGGGGCAGTGCAGTCAATAGCACCCTGCACTTGTAGGTACTGTCAGACCAGCAGCTCCCAAATTGTAGCAGATTGGTGACTGAAATGTATGATGGGCAACATCACACTGTCAGGTTGATAGATAGGCTGCTGATATGGCTAAACTAAAGCARTGGAGCTACAAGCAGCATGTTCAGTGCCAGAGGCCTGCCCAGGCTGGGTCAGTAGTATCCAACGAGTYCATGCAAGGGGTGCAGTTGTCTCTCCCTTGTAAAGGGATGCCTGACTCTTTAGCACCTCTGTTGGGCCAAGCYTTGCACACTGTAAATTAACATTAYATTTATCCAGCCAAGAAAATGACAYTGGTAGTTTTGTGTCTTACCTGAAAGAGGTTTTGCTTCAATGGGCTCATAYATTTCACCAATCTTCTCCACGCCGTTACAGACCGTGGGTTTGTTCTCCTCGTAGTTTTTGAGTGTTCGCAGAAGTGCTTTTGCTTTCCAAGTGCCAGTATCCTCCTTCCTTCTCTCTTTGTTTGAACTTCGTTTTGACTTCCGGATGCTCAGCATTGTTTTAATACCTCTTTCAAAGAACCCACTGTCCCTGCTCTGGGAATCTGAGCTGCTCAGTTCAGAAATGACCTCCATCTTTTGCTCCCTTGCACTGGTCAGAGAGGCTGGTTCTGAGATCACACTCCTTGTGTCTAACTCCATATTTCTATTTATCTTCTCTTTCAACAGGAGGTTTACCAAGCAGGTTGATTGTAATCACTGAAATGCATAAAACAGCAGAATTAAAGGTGTTCTTAACACAGTATTTCTGTGTCTCCAAAATCAGTCCTGCTCTGAAAATCTGGCCCATTCCTTTCCAGTGACTAAATACAAGGACAGGGCAAGGTGGTGTAGCCTATGGCTGCTGAAACAACCTCTCTACCCACAAACACCAGATGCTGGCCTGCATCCCAGGTGCTCTGGAAAGCTTCATTTAACTCCCTAAACCAGGMAAGTGGCAACTATTTCTCCAGCACCAAGGAATCATGAGATGTCAGAGATGTTGAAACCTGTGTARTCACACCGTTTCAGTGGGTAACCAAATATAGTTTTACTTTCCATTCTTCTAGGTGGATTTCCAGYCATGCAGGAATAATAATCTTGCTGAATCTCACTGGGGTGTTGCCACTTTCTGATGTAAATAAGACAACTTTGGGTTTTGTTGTCACTTCTGCCCTGCTCAAACCCTGAGCTGCTGCTGCTGGAGGTGGCCCGGGGGGTGAGTGGTTCCCAGCAGGTGGCTGAGCTCTGCTCTAGCCCCTTCCATCACAGCCACAGCTGTCTCTGCACTCTGAATCGTCATGGTTACAGCACAGAAGGCTGTACAATGCAGGAAGGGYTCACATCACTCATCCTGCCTCAAAGCACTGCATCCCAACATGCCAAGAATGGGCATCTCCAAGGTAAGCAAACCCTGCTCGAGCTGCAGGGGATGCTGCAGGAGATTCCAGATTTTGGCAGAAGTGCTCCTGTCAGTGCTGCTGGGCTGCAGTCACATCCTCTGCACTCGCTCAGCTCCTGCCGTGCTGCAGAAAGGCCAGCTCCCTTCTGCCAACCCTAAGGTCCGGGTGCTTCGGAAGGGGGAGGAGAGAGGTTTTACCGTCCCTCCCTTGCAAGGGGCTCCCATCAGGCCACCAGCTGACACAGCCCATTCATGGAACTGTTGTACACTGCAAAGCCCTGAGGATGGAAAATGCCACATTTCTCCAGAGCAGSCTTGAAGCAGCTGAGTGAACAGTTCAAATCCCTAGAAACAGCTATGGCTTGAGGTGACACAGGAACTGCCTGTCTCGGGTCTGTCCAGCTCACAGAAGGCAGAACTGAAAAATTATTACAGCCAATAGACATGTTGGGATTCTGGAAACAGATCTATCCTTCCTCAATCAGAGTTTTGCTTCCTGTGCATGGTTATTTCACCGGCTGTGAGCTATGGGACAGCATCTTCCCATGGGTTTGCTGAGCTGCTCACACAGTGGGGCTCAGACCCTGCTTCACACACTCTCATGGGAATATTTAACCACTCACTGCCTGGCTCAGGATCTCACCCTTCACAGCCCATACAGAGGGTGGGAGGGAGAGGAGRGAACCCCACTTCCCAGGGATTTCAGGGGGAAGGAGGCTGATACCTGAGCTCAAACTCGCATGGGGTCTCTGCAGRTAGTGCTGAGCAGCAGCAATGGTYAAAGGGGTGAGCTGTGTGRTGGAGAGAGGCAGGGAAGAAGGAACTAAAGGTGTGAGCCCATGGGAGAGGAGAGGAGAGGAGAGGAGAGGAGAGGGAGAGGAGAGGGAGAGGAGAGGGAGAGGAGAGAAATACATACCCCAGTACTGACAGAAGTGATCCCCTCCACAGCAAGCTGGGATAGCACAGGTGTGATCCACAGAAAGTGAGAGYAGCTCCGTGCCGCAGAAAATCCAGGGGAGATGCAGCGGTAGGTGGGCAGCTCTGCAGGACTGAGGTCCAGGTCAGCTCCCTCACCTCAGCTGACTGGGGCATCATCCCTCAAGTATGTGCTGGCCGAGGGGCTCCCTCTGGGAATGGTGCTGCTCTCCATCCTTCCTTACCCTCTGAAAAGGGCTGTTAAAAGTAGAAGAAAATGTCTGTCCACACCTGCCCAAAAGCTCCAGCACCTTCACCTGTTTGATCTCCGGAAAATGTTTGCACTGTTTCACTTTCACTATGTCTGAGCATTTAAAAGAAGAGGTGGGGAAAACATTCCAAGTTAATTATTGCCTTCAGGTGGAGATGGAGCCTTGATCCAGAGGTCCTACCTCTGGCTGAGGGTGASCTGCTGCCCTGAGGTGGCCTGGGGCAATGGGGGGAAGGAGGATTTCAGGATGTGGTCCTGTCCTGATGGGCTGAAGCCCCACATTATCTGGGTATGGGGCTTCAAATGCAACCCCAGAGCTGCTGTGTGGGAATAGCTGCATTTCACCCCCTTCTGCCCTRTTCCTGCAGGTCACGGGTGGCTGGTCCCACTAATGATTGCCAGACGTGAGTGAGCGACAGGGAGCACTGTGTCCCCTGGTTAAATATTTATATATTCACAACCTCRCTTTGCCCTGGAGGCACTTATTTCCATGGGGTTGCTAGCCCTGGATMCCTCCATTCTCAGAGCATTTGGGAACCTTGGAGGGAACTCAAAGCAAATAAGCATGAAAAAAGGGGCCTTGAAGGTTTAAACAACATTAAACACAGTCACTTGGTTTGTCACTGAGGGGTGTAAAATTATTTAACCCTTGGGCTCCTTTAGTGCCCAGACAGAGGCAAGTCAGGCTGCCAGGCTGGGCACACCAGGCAGTCCCAGGTGCCCAAGGTCCTGCTGTAAAGCAAAAGGGATAAATCAGGAGATGCCACCATGCCATGGGCAGTGTGCACTTCTTTGCTGTAGGACCCTGCCAGCATGTCACCTATCAGTGTGATAAGGGACATCAGACAGGTTAGTGATGGATTGATGCAATAAATGGCATTTAGACAGAGGAGAACAGAGGGACAGAACAGAAGATAACAGTCTCCTCTACCTCTGAGAGAGACTGTGTGTCCAACAGATGGAAAGTGTGTGGGATGGGAATAATTATGAGCAGCTGAACAGGGAAGAGTGGTGGCATGGACTGGTGTGAAATTGCCCTGATGGTGAGATGGGACTGGACAGAGCATCGTTTGTGGCTGTCCCATGGTGCAGGGGTGTCCTGCCTGTCACCTCCCTCAGCCAGGCAGTGCAGCGCTGAGCTTTCTGCCCTTGGSCCCTTCAAAGTCATGTGTAAACCAGAGACTGCCCTTCTGTACTGGGGAAAACCATAACTGATAACGTTTCTGCCACCTGGTAGGCTGACAAACAGAGGAATGAGCTATTTATTCAGGCACAGGCTGAGGGGTGGAAAGCCCCTTTGGACACAAAGTCCAACTAAACCTCTCTCCATCYGGGCTGTAACTGCCTCATCCACAAAATATTTACCTGGTGTGTCACTGTTACTGGGGCACAGCCRGAGCAGGTCCAGCATGGATGGGGTCTGATCCAGGCCTCTCTGGGAGCTGTCAGCTACCCCAAAACACAGCCAGCACCAGGGCCTGCAGGGAGTAATAAACACAATTCCGAGGGAGCTCTGAATCCCACAGTCTAGGTCACCTCTCTCCCTACAACCCTTGCTGGTGCTCTCTCCCAGCAGCTCTCAARGAGCACTCCTGCTCCTGGAAATGCCATCAGGGCAATGCTGTTTCTAGGTGTCTGTCCACAGAAAGTCATAGGAATTTAAAAACGCACTGTATTTTGCAGTTGTTAACCAGTTTTCTTCAGTTTTGGCTTTTGCAAAGGGTTTTGTGAAGTTGTAGGTACGTTAAAAATGGCTATAAATAGGGCTGGAGAGAAGTGGGGTGGAAGGGGTGCAGAAAATGCCACAGTCTTATGGAGGGTCAGATCAACTTTTCAGTGGTCTAGAAAATAAGGGCTGTGAAGAGGAAATGAATGCATTGGGACTGTTTAATTCAAGAGAGGCCAAACAGTATGYGTCAGCTATGTTAAGGACTGATGAAAAAAGGAATAGAATAACTGTCCCCCTACTCTGCAGTGGGGAGAGTTCTATGCCTATTGGAGTTTCTCTGTCTGAGATCTTCAGGACAGATTCAGACAAGTGTCTGTGAGCAGCAGTTCAGGTGCAGAATTCCTGCCCTGTCTGCCTCATGCATGGAGCACTGGCCCTCCGGCTGTGGCCAAAGGGAATGCATGGGACCCCTACTCCCTCCTTCCCTCCCTCCCTCTGGGGCTCAGGGGTCTCTTCCCAGCTGGTATTTGCACTCACAGACATCCCCAGGCCCTGTGCTTGCTTGTCTTGTCCTTGCTTTGGCTTAATCCATACTTAATGGGCACAAGTGAAGCCAGACAACCTCTGAAGCAACATGAGTGCCCTCTGCCTCAGCTTCTCTGTCTGTGAAATGCATGTATTCAGTTTGCCCTCCTCAAGTAAGGAGGAGGTGCGCTGCTTGAGCTCTTGCTATAGGAATATTTCAAGGAGTTTTTGATTTCTTSAGATATATTGTGAAGGATGTGCAGATCTGCAGAGGGTGTTACTGGCTAACAGCTCCCTAATGCTCTGCACYCGCCAACCTCTTTGAGGCTTTCACACTGCTGCTTTGCCTCCTGACCCTTTGAAATATTTGGCTTGGGCTTTAATTGATCCCTCCTCCCTTGTCTGTCTTTTGTTCATATTTGTTGTTTTCTTCTTTTTCTTTTCCTTCAGTAACACCTGCAGAGCTCAGTGAGACTCCAGAGGTGCAGTGCTCCTTGGCAGAGATGAGGGGCAGGGAGAGTAATTTGGTAGAGTCCTGCAATTCCCTTCACAGCACCGAGGATTTTTTCATCAGCTCCAAAGGTCAGGAGAAAAATACATTGCTGAGGTTCCAGGGGAACACTACTTTCATGCACATTCAGAAAGCTGCGCCAGATACCCTCTCACAGCCTCAGCAACCCAACTGGCACAGCCTTGGTGGGGCATGCTCTGACCCCTCTCCACTTCTGCAGGTTTCATTTGCTCTGTGGTGGGGCTGAAATCTCAGCCTATGTGGGGATGAGACCCCAGAGCTGCAGGGATTTATTGCAGTACAGAGGCTTGATATTTTTAACAGCATCGCCGATGATGGATGAGGCAAAGACGTGCTTGGAGGCTGCATGTGCCTATGCAGCCATTTTCTCCTCAAGGGTGATTGCAGGGAAATGAGAGGCACTGCTTCACCTGAAACATTTTTCTTTCTCCTTTTAGGTTGTGGGAGGTTTGAGCCTTAAGGTGACAAGTCCATTTGCAGGGAATAAGCAGGTTGTGATTTGGAAGCTGGCTTTTKCAGGAGGGATGCTGGCACCCAGGTTTGAGGGGGAGAATTTGGAAGGTGTATTTCTGCAAACGTAAGAGTATTACCACATCTGGGAGAGATGCTCCAGACCTAGGAATGCTGTCCTACACTCTTTCTGTGTATCCATGGAAGGAGACCACTTGATTTAGTATATACCACACCAGAGAACAAAATCACCAGTGCTCATTTTATTGCAGAAAGGTGGACCAGGAGGATTTTTCAAGAGAGCTGCCACTGCTGTGCAAGTTCACCCTAGGTGCTTTTGGAAGAAAAGCATTAAAGTTTTCCTTCCTCTCCTCCCAGAAAGGGTGTAGAACAGGCCTTTTTGAGCCGGATTTCTCACACTGATTTTCTTCTTTTGAAGTGAAAATGTTTTAACACTTTCAGCAAGCCATCAGCCCATGTGCTATGCCAGGAGCTGTGCCGAAGCATGCCAGAAYTCACATGAGCCCAACAGGGATGGCGTGGCTGGGAGACAGCCTTCCCCATTCTCCTGATTCCTGTTGCAGCAGCCCCACAAGAACATTTTGCCAGCAGGCACAGAGAAGCCCCCAGTGGCCCCAGAGCTGCAGGGTGCAGCCAAAGTTGGGATGGTCCCTGTGTGCTCCCTCAGCCTGGCAGSAGCTCTGCTCCTGGGGATGCTCAKCTGGTGCATCAGGTACACGCTGTGGTGGTGCCTGCTGAGCATTTCCTTCTGCTTGTTTGTGATCAGTGTGAGCTGATGAGTAGATGGATGGTAATTGCTAAAAACTCTTTGTGCAGGCTGTGCGCTCCGTAGCCCATTATTCTGTAGCGAGCATCAGTGTGGCCAGGGTGGAGTCCATCACCCCAGCCCTGAGACTGAAATGTCACAGCGAATTGGCTTCAGGAAGAAGCTGCTGTGTCCGACTGAGCAGGGTGCCCTCGTCCCTGTCATCACAGGAGCTGCCAAACCAGAACTCAGAGAGCAGAAGCACTTTGTGCATGACAGTGACAGCAGATTAGCTACGTGATTGTGCTTCTGCTCTTAATTCACCTTACGCTTTGCCAAAACACCAGCCTGATGCCACRGCTTTTCACTGTGGTGTGACTCCACTGGCTTCGGTGGGATGGAGTCTGCTGTCCATAAGAGCAGGGGGAGAACCCGCCCCATCGCCTGGAGATGGGGCATCAGGCTTAACAGCGAGAGTTTCCCCTTGGAGCTGGCTGGGGCTGAATGTTCCCGGTGGATAGCAGCCTTTGAGAAGGAATTAAACCCTGCTGAGCAATTCAAGCAGAGTTAGACTACTCTGTCATTTAAATTAGGTGACTAAGAGCAGACCACTTCTGGAGCCAAGGCACCTGCCTGCTGTGCCTGTCAACACGGCTAGATGTCGGCTGTTGAAAATGTGTCATTGAGGCCAAGGMCTGAGCTGGGAGCTCAGCACTGCCTCTGCTGCAGATGACTGGGAGGTTGKATAAAGCAGGATCTTGTGCTTCTTTGCGGGGTTTTGCTTTACTGCACCAAAATTTCCACTCCACAGTGCTCAAAAAAATTCACCAAAGACAGGCTAAAATTTGTTTGCCACATTGCTGCAGGACATTCTAAAGCACAAGGACCCTGAAAAAAACCCAGTGGAGTCTTGTAAGAAACCTCTTTGGCCTTTTTCTAGYTGAATTTTCTCCAGGTTAATCCCASGYTTGGTTCRATGGAGRGGGGAAAGATGCAGGCTGGTCCTGATCTGTRTAACACTATGRGTCCCTGGCTTTCTTCCAGTGTCAAAGGGTTCGTGCATCACACCTTTGTATTGCCCACACCAGTGTGATCTGTGGTGCCCATAGCAATGCCCCAGGGAAGTGGGAAGCAACTTTTACTCAGCATSTCCCCTGGATGAAGCCTGACCTCTGCAAAGCTGACTTTTCTTTACCTTTGGTGGATGGGAAAATCTGAGAACTAGCGCTTTATTTAAATATATATTTCTGTACGATTTTTTTTAAATGAGTGTTTTTGAAGTTTCATTGAAGATGTTGTCACTGTAATCATTATATTTCTATAGAGATTATAATGACTCCTTTTGAAGAGTTAGTCTCAGTCAGTCAGTGCTTAATTCACATATCAATGACTCCATAAACCCTAAACCCATAAATCTGC